TATTACTGTATTCGTTGCTAAATTACTGTCTCCAGCAGTTATTTAACTGTTGGAGACAGTGATTTAACTGTTAATTGACTTTTTTATTCTTAAAAAAAATATTTTTAATTAATATTACTGTATTCGTTTGCTAAATTACTGTCTCCAGCAGTTATTTAACTGTCGGAGACAGTAATTTAACTGTTAATTGGTTTTTTTTTTCTTAATTTTTTTTTTTAATTAATAGTACTGCCTTAGATGCTAAATTACTGTCTTCAACAGTAATTTAACTGTCTTAGACAATAATATTAATAATATTACTGTTCAGAAAAAATAATATTCATAATATTACTGTCCAAAACAGTAATATTACTGTCTGAGACAGTAATTTAGTAGCTAAAACAGTACTATTAATTAAAAAAAAAATTCTTCTAAGAAAAACAAAATTCAAAAAAAAAAAAAAAAAAAGTCAACGCCGGAGACCGGCGGTCAACGGTGGTTGACCGACCGGAAAAAAATTCAGGAAAAAAAAAAGTCAACGCCGGAGACCGGTGGTCTTCGGCGGTCAACGCCGGAATCTGGACATTTCAGAAGAAAAAAATTATTTTCTGAAAAAAAAAGTTTTGGGGGTTAATGTGATATATTTGTTAAAATCCGGGGTCAATGTGTAATATTAAGGAAGTTAGATCATAATGGGTGGAATTGATAAGACTTATAATATTGAGGGTATTTTAGACTAAAGACATGGGGATGGGCTTAATTGAGAGACTGTTTTTTTTGTGGACCAAAATGCATTTAAGTCCCATGTGATGGGCCTTTTTGCCATTTGCCCTTTTTGGAATATTTATAAGTTGTTTGTTTTAGTATTGTCCATCATTGATCGGATGCCGCTAAAGATAAACTTGCAGGTTATTTGAATATCCGTTATGTTACTTCTCTACTAACGTATATGTTGTTAAGTCAGTTATTTTACATAAGATATAATGGTCTAGTAGATTGCATTTCACGCAGGGCCGGTCCGACGTACTCGTGGGCCCGGGGCGAGAATATAATTATTCAGTAGTTCGGCGACAATGTTCAGATTTTTTTTTTCCGCATCTTAAGCTTAATGAAATAATATAAATTATTTATTTACAGAAACCTCATAAATAGAAGTCTGAAAATATTCATGTCTAGATAAAAAACTTTTGTGTAAAGCAGATGTTAGAAATAAAAAAAATATATTAAAATTCAAATCTATTTTAAAATAAATTTATATAAAAAAAGAATAAAGAGCAATTTTTTTTGAACATGATAGAAGAATAATTTTTTTTAAAACAATAAAACAACTTTTACACATAAAAATATATAATATATACATGGGGAAATTTGCTAGACACCCCTAGTTTTGGACTTATATAGGTAGAGATCCATTTCATTAGATGAATATAGGTATAGGTCATTTAGTCAATGAAATTAATTTAAATAAAATAAAACTATTAGTATATACCCATAAATACCCTCCATTAATATTTATATGAAAATAGTTATTTATTTAAATAAGGGAACAAATCCCACATATCACTCTATCTATCATTTCCCTCTCATCTCTCCTTTTTCACCTCTCTTACTTTCACTCTCACGTGTGTCTCTCTCTCTCTCTCTCACACACACACACATGTTTATCTCTCATCCCACATATATCTCTCTTTTTCCCATATCTCCTTCTTTGTATTTATGTATAGTTGAATTATTATTTTTATTTGCGTTTTTTAATTGATGTTGTTTCAATAAACTACCAAAGTTATTTAAAATAACAAAATTTGTTTGCAATAAAAAATAAATAAAAAATGCAAATTGAAATAGAAAAAACAAATTATACAATATTATAGGATGTGCAACAACAATCTAAAAAGTGTAATATTTTCACAATAAATTATATTTGCCGCAACAATAAATTAAATTTCAAAGAGTAAAATGAATGTAAATCATTAAACAATAATTTTTGCCCACTCGCACTATCGATGAACATCTTCCTGTCAGCGGCACCAACCGAAAATGGTCTTCTTCTTTCTTTTTCCCAGGCATGTATGAGTTGAAACACTCACATGATAGAATAAAATGTACAATCTTGAACCTACAAATAATAAATTGCAAACTTTAACCACAATTTACTAATTGCAAATTGAAGGAAAATAGCAAAAAAGAAATTGTGACTGCAAACAACAAACAACATATGCAAGTTCAAACAAGATTTGTAAAATACAAACTGCAAACATCTAATAAGAACTTCAATTAAGACCAAACATGAACTGCAAACAACAAATAACAACTTCAATTATAATAGAGAACCGCAAGTGCAAACTGCAACAACATGCTCACCAAATTAACCACAACAACATGCAAACTCATACTAAAAATTTAAGTGCAGACTCAAAATAGCAAAGCCCAAATCATACTAAAATTTGTAGACTTCAAACTAAACGCAAACCAAAATTTTCATAAAGTTACCTAAATACCAAAAAACAAACTCAACATAGTAAATACAAACTCTTAATAATAAACTTGAAACAACAAAATGTAAACTCGAAACAGCAAAATGTAAATTCGGTATAGTAAAGTCAAACTAGCAACAATCAAATACTTAGTCTCAAGAAATTAGAGATGCAAACTTAAAATATAGTTACATCTAAAAAAAAACGTAAACAAACTACTAACATCAACAAACCTTGCAATTTATATCTGATTTCTCGGGGATTCGAATTCATCATCCTTGTTCGATGTCTGAAGGAAAAAAAACGGGCTTTTGAATGAGTATTGAAAAAATCGAACAATCATATGTACATGTAGTTAATAGGAGTATTGCTTACCGAGACTAAATCGTGTTTGAGTCATTGTAGAAATCACAAAAAACAGATGAAGAAACAACAAACGATGTCTTCAAACAACAAACGATCTTCAAATAGCAAACGAGAAAAGAAAAAAAAAACTAATTCCTCAACGTAAACAACAAACGACATTTTGAAAATTGCAAACGGTCCGAGGACCCTACCTATAGCAGACTCAATTCGGTTTTTGGTTAGGTTTGATATTGATAAAATCGATGTTTGGGAGCGATAGAAATTGAAGAAATCGATTCTTGGGAGCGGTGGAATTTGAGATTGAGAATACGTGAATTTTTTGGAATGGGTTGATTAACTGCAGGAGAAAAATATGGGATATATATTTTGGAGATTTTTATTTCCATATATTGTTAGGGGTATTTTTGACATATTAAAAATAATAAATTTACTAAAAATTGAGTTTTATTAGTTGGATTTATAGACATAAAATCTCTTATAGAAGGACCTATAGCAAATTGCCCCTATATACATTAAAAAATTAAAATTTTGGGCCCGTATGATATTGGGGCCCTGGGCGTGGGCCCTTCTCGCTCCACCCCAGGGTCGGACCTTGCACCAAAAGGCGAAATCCCTCGCCCCCAGGGCCCCCATCCCTTGGCCCGACAAGAATTGATGGAGGAATGTAAATCATGGTAACTCAACGGCCCGTTAAGGTAGCGGACCCGGACCTGGTGCCCACAAGGAACCAACTCATTGGAGTTGAAATTCCCACACTGCGGCTGCCAGGATTCGATCCTAGGACCTTGCACCAACTTACCACCTCCGGAACCAGTTGAGCTACACCCATGCGGGCTCCCCAGGGTCGGACCTGATTCCATGAAATAGTTGTACCATATAATTTTAAATGATTCACTTAATTTTTATATCGCATTTTGTGATTGACTTTTTCTTCTTTGTAATATTTATTTGTATTTCATTTCAACTTTAGATTAAAAGATAAAGTTTATGTGTTGTCGATTTAATTTCATTTCTGTTTACTTGAATTAGATTTGTTACAAAGAGAAGTCGTTTACATATTATTATTTTTTATTGAGTATGTCAACGACTACTTGTGTTCCCTCCTTCCTGGCGAAGAGAAGTTGTACATTAGCGCGGATAGTATATTCAAGGATGAGATGAGTTTGGAAAAGAATACTGAAATTAATACGACCGAATTCTTCAACACATTGTCTTGCTCCTGTCTCCCTTCACATAAGCTGAAACTCAAGGAAAATCCTCATATTATGCTCATACGAAACATCAATCAGGTGAGAGGCGTTTGTAATGGAACCAAACTTCAAGTTCTTAGAATGGGAGCTCATGTTCTTAGCTGCAAGGTTCAATCCGGCAAAAATATCAATTCTGTTGTTTTCATTCTTTGAATGACGGCAGTCCCATCGAACTCTTCTTTGCCTACTAAGTTCCAGATGCGACAATTTTCATTGATGGTTTCATTTGCAATGACCATCAACAAGAGTTAGGGTCAAACATTTTCCCATATCGGTTTGTATCCACCCAAACCTGTATTCATTCACGGTCAGTTGTACATTGCACTCTCGAGAGTCAAGAGTAGATTTGGCATAAAGATCCTAATCAATTCCCAATCCGATGGATTGTCGAGTTCTACTAGCAACGTGGTGTACACATAAGTATTTTAGCGCATATGAAGATTTATATCATGCATACCATCGACTATTTATCTTATTATAACTATATTTTGTCTTATCAATGTTATGTGTGCTCTCTATGTTTAGGTATCTATGTACCTGATTTTTTTTTTATTTCTAGCATATTTGGTGCCATAGTTTTCGGTAAGTACTATAATGTAAATATCGTTTAATTACGCATTATTGTGATTGTTATTTCAGTAATGCATTAAACTGAATTTACGAGAAATACGAAAACTTTGCAGGTTAATTACTATGTACTTTTTTATTTATGTGGACCTACGAGATGGTGCAGTGGGTTTGATTCTATTAATTTAGTTAGTTCTAGCATCTTCGTCGAACAAATTATTTTATGCATTAGGTTTATAAAGAAAAATAACATTGCTTTGGGGACCCATTTTTTTTGTTTATTCAACATCTTAACTTATGTTAGTTTTAATATTTTTGACCCTAAATTGTTGAATAGCAGTTTTGTTCTCGAAGGTGATCTCCGTGCATCGCACGGGTGAGATACTAGTTATAGAGAATTGTAAGAGATTTTTCCTTAACAAAAAATGTTTAAGTGAAGGACTATACTCAAAATCAGAAAATAAATCTGCCTTTAACTCGAATAAAAATAATTTTGAAGGACTTGTCCCAAATTGTCGAAATTCGTTAGGTTTCCAATTTTAATAATAAACCCGCCAATCACAGTCTACCAAACGCAGTGGGCAAAACTCAGAAGAGATGTACAAATTACTGCGTTGCTTATTTTTCATCAATATTTATTATTTCGAAGCTAACAATTTCGATATTTGCATTTGAATCCTTCATTTCTTCGATCTGATTCTTTTTTTTTTTCTGTATCTTAAATGCAGATAAAGAAGAAATGTCGAGGAATGCGAAGATCGAATCACCCGGTAATGCTCGAATTTATTTCAATTTTTATGAATTATCCTTTTTTTTTAAGGTTATAATCGCTGTCAATTGAAACCCCTACAAAAAAAATTAAACTTTTTATTTATTCCGTAATTGTAATTAATTGTGGGGCAATATTCAAACCAATGTAATAGCTTGTCAATTTGATTCGTTTTCGAAATTGGGTTTTTTAGGGTTTCATGATTATTGTACCATACACTGAAGTTTTCCTGCATTTTCGGTTAAAATGTTCTCGTTTCTAGATTGTTGTATATAACTGTTTTGTTAGCATTTCGTTGTTTTATACGATGAGTGATTATTTGATGTGAATGTGGTTTATTTAATCAATCCTTTGCAGAAAATGTGTTGAAATTGGCGATAACCACTTCTCCGGACAAGGAATATACGAGCCTAGCATCAGTCAGTACACAACACAAGCCCTTTGATTTTTTAGGCGTGTTATACGGTACAGTTTTACATTAATAGTTGAATTTATTTCATAAATTTAGAAATTCAGAAATTTTAATCTTAAAACAACCTTGTAACGTAACTGCATGAGAAGAGCGTAAATGCAGATCGTGACATATAAAATCGTGTATTATGAATTGTATGCTAGTTGATTATAGAAAGGGATGTCAAATGCAATAAGAAGAAACTGAATTGCGTTCAATGGTTGGGTTAAATTTACTTTAGGGGTTTAAAAGTGCCGATTTTCCGATTGACGGAAAAAAAAAGTTATTTCTTTTTTTTTCGGAACTACTAGGATATGAGAGGAAGTTTTAGGGAATATGTACGCATGTCTATTTTATTGTGAAGGTGTTTCATTGGCAATCGATGAACTTAGACATCTTGAAAATTTCTGTAAATTAATGTGGTCTTTATAGTCGTATTTAGAGTATGCAATCTAATTTATTTGGTGAAATATTGCCTTATTGGGGGTTGTGCAGAGAGTGCTGTGGCAGGAGCTGCTGCTGGTACGTTGGTCGAAACTGTTTTGTACCCTATTGATACGATAAAAACTCGATTACAGGCAGGTTATATTATTTTATTATTTTAACTATAACCACACTTTTGGTTGAATAAGCTGTTAATTAAAACCCTTTTTCGTGGGTTCCTATGTAGGCAGTTCGTGGCGGGGGTGAAATAATTTGGAAGGGACTTTACTCTGGTTTGGCTGGAAATCTTGTTGGTGTTATACCGTAAGTTCTTTATTTTGTTCCGTTTCGTTTTTCCTCAGAAAGTCCTGCTCTAAGTTTCGTTTTTCATACACCATTTACTCATATAGAAAAAAAGCCTAACTAGCTCCAATGATAACATTTACTTCTTTACTAAGTGATGACTTACTCAAAGCCAAAAAAAAGGTCAAATATTATGCTCCCGTTTTATTCTGTATGATAAGAATTATCTTTCTAGAAATCAGCCATAATATATGATATTATTGAATGGAAACAATAAATTTATAAGAAAAAATAAGTCGTCGAATGTAAGACTTTTGCTAACTATATATAAGCCATAATTGTTCGCAGGGCATCGGCACTATTTATTGGCGTATACGAACCTGCAAAGCAGAAACTGCTCAAGATTTTTCCCGAAAACTTATCTGCCATAGCACACCTGGTAACAATAGTTAATAAGAACAACTGAAATGTTATATTATATTCTTCTATTCGTCACAGTTTAATGAGAAAAAAAATTTAGTTTACTTGTTGATTTGATTTATCCCCATATCTGAATAATTTCTCGAATATTTCTCCGTGGATTATCTTGAAATGCCTATTTAGGCTGCAGGTGCGCTTGGCGGAGCTGCTTCTTCTATAGTTCGAGTTCCTACTGAGGCAAGTTGACTTTTTTTTTTCTTTTTTTTTTTTCTTTTTTTTTTTGGTTCAGACATACAAGGCAGAACATATATTACATGTATAAAATGTATGGATATGTTTTTATGGTTTATGAGCAGGTGATTAAACAAAGGATTCAGACTGGTCAATTTGTTTCAGCACCTGATGCTGTCCGCCTTATAGTTGCTAAGGAGGGTTTTAGAGGCCTTTATGCGGTATGTTGTATGATAATTCATAAACATAATTAACAAATGTTTTTGCTAATTGCATGAATTATATTCATTAATTACAGCTATATGTAGCATAATTTTTAAAGTTATTAGATAACTGATTCTTGATTTGTTCTAACTTTGCATGCATGCAGGGATATGGATCCTTTTTATTGCGAGACTTGCCTTTCGATGCAATCCAGTTTTGCATTTACGAGCAACTTCGAATTGGATACAAGCTAGCTGTAAGTTAATAATACATTTTATTTCACACGAATGTGTTGGCATTTTTTTCTCTTTCAACCTTGTAAATTGATGAATACTTGAAAGTTTTCAAACAAATACGGACTGTTGATCTTGATCTTCAATTCATGCTGCAGGCAAAAAGGGATCTGAATGATCCTGAAAATGCAATTATTGGTGCCTTTGCAGGTAAGTATCTGACTGATTTATATATATATATATATATATATATATACACACACACACAATAACAAAATTGTGATATTTCAATTTATTATTGAATAAACAGGTGCAATAACTGGTGCTATGACAACTCCTCTAGATGTGATAAAAACCAGATTAATGATACAGGTGCAGTTGAGACACAATTGATTTATTTATTTATATTTATTTATAAATCGAAGTTCTCATTTGTTCCCCTCCTGTATGTATTGTATTTAACTTTCAGGGATCAACAAAGCAGTACAACGGTATACGTCACTGCATTAATACTATTCTAAAAGAAGAAGGAAGCTCTGCTTTTTTCAGGGTTCGACATTCTATTCTATTCCCCATTATTTCAAATACTAACAACTGGATAATTGCAAGTATTAATTTCTTTTATTTATTTATTCAATTTTGATTCTCGTTTATCAGGGGATGGGGCCTAGAGTGTTGTGGATAGGTATCGGTGGTTCGATATTTTTTGGAGTTCTTGAGAAGACGAAGCAGCTTACGTCTCAAAAGCCCTCCTTTGCATGAACCAAGTGTTAGAGTAATTAAAAACGAAGCTATGAATTCGTTAAACAACCATTTGTTTCTTGTATATTCATCCCATTTGCAGAATCAAGAATGTTAATTTTTTTCTTGCCCCCAAATAATCTCTCTTATTCCAATTCTACACCAGTGTAACGTTCTTGGGAATCCAATAATTCACTCATATCGAAAAGTAATCAAACAAAAATAATCAGAATCCATATCAATGGAAAGTAATCTAATAATTCATTCATTTCGAAAAGAAAAGAAAAAAAAAATCTTATGAAAAGTAAAACAACGAAAAGCTAATACGAAGAAAGATAAGGAAAGTCTTGAGAAACCGGGAAATAATGTCCAGGACAAGAGCACAAGGGGCAGAGATTGCTCAAGATAAACCATCTCACAATGCAATGTGAATGAAAAGCATGACCGCAATTAGGAAGCACAGATATACGAGATCCGACAATCGGACTACGCAGGCAAATAGAGCACTCGTTCATAAGACTCAACCCCTCGTCTAAATCTTCAACTCTAACCTTGTCGAGTCTTGTGTTCAAGAAACGCTGGAGTTCCGAGGGAACAAGCTTGTTAATCTCATCATTCCTACCTGAAAAGTTTAGCATAAGGAATATTGGTTCCAAACACTCCCCACTAATCGCCCTATCAAACGCATCATCAATCGACTCTCCTTCAATCTGAACCGTACAAATCTCTAAATTCACAACCGCCGGAATAACAAGATTATCATTATCATTAGATGAGCACTGTTTGGCAAAATCGAATGCTCCAGAAAGCAATAAATCAATTTCATCGGATGGAATAATCCAATACGATTTTAGCCTCGGTTTAATCCACAGTATCAGATAAGTTGGATCCTCAAAATCGTCACCCAAAATCATATCGAATCTCTCCGAACCAATAATCACTTCTTCGAATCTCTCCGAACCAATAATCACTTCTTCTTCTTCTTTGCTGATTCTTTTCCTTAGTATGAAATTAGTTCTAATCTCGAAAAAAAGCTTCTTTCTCCACCCAAAAGTTTTTAGTGGAAGCACACCGCCGTACGCCGCCGCAAAACCATACCGATATTCGTATCCTGCTCGACTGCCCATACCGACAATAATTACACAATAATTAAAACCGACGTGACGATATTCGTATCAAACAATTAGGGTTTCGTTTCCTTCTGTTCTGTTCTCTACTGCCCCAATAGGCCAATATATATACTGGGGAATTTTAATTTGCATACAATTCGAATTAGGGGTAATGGCCCATGACAAGGGCACTTAATTAAAAGATGGACATCCAACTTTTTTGTCTTTCAAATAAATCTACCTCATTCAAACTTATTTGCAAATAAGGAAAATTCCTTTATATATACCAAAATTACCCTCAATTCATTGAAACCCAATTCAACTCCAATTTCATGATTTACACCCCAATTTAGCCCAATTTCATCAATTAACCAATTTTAACCCTAATTTTAATTTTGACCCCAATTTTAACCCTAATTCTTATCAATTCCACCCATTATGATCTAACTTCCTTAATATTACACATTAACCCCGGATTTAAACAAATATATCACATTAACCCCCCAAAATGTTTTTTTTAGAAAATATTTTTTTTTCTGAAATATTTCTTTCCGGCCAGATTCCGGCGATGACCGCCGGTCTCCAGCGTTGACTTTTTTTTTTTTTTTTTTATAATTTTTTTTCTTCAATTTCTTTTTTAATTAATATTACTGTTTTGGCTGCTAAATTACTGTCTCCGGCAGTTATTTAACTGCCGGAGACAGTAATTTAGCTGTTAATTGACTTTTTTTTTTCTTCAAAAATATTTTAATTAATATTACTATATTCGTTGCTAAATTACTGTCTCCATCAGTTATTTAACTGTTGGACACAGTGATTTAACTGTTAATTGACTTTTTTATTCTTAAATAACGGGAATTGCTTTTAGCGGTTTGAAAATTGCTATTTGGGGGTTTTTAGCAAACCCCAAAAAAAAACACTTTATTTCACTAAAACCCCAAAATTTTCCAAAAAAATCAAAACCCCCCCCCCCCCCCCCCCCCCAAAACGCGTAAAAGCCCAACTTGGGCGCCCATTCATGCAGTGCACGCCCAAGTTGGGTGGCAAGCTGCATTTGGGCGCCCGAGTTGGGCGTCCAATGCAAAAAAAATTATTACTATTATTTTTTTTTTTTGAATGTTCGAACACCCGAGGCGTGTACAAACGCCCGGAACGGGCGTTCGTACACGCCTTGGGCGCCCATCTTGGGTGTTCGACCATTTTTTTGCGAAAAAAAAAGCCCTACAAATCGATTTGTAGAGCTTTTTAACATGAAATTGGTTCCGTAATCGACCTACCCAATGCATATTACACATAAAAGAGTCGAAATTACATCAAAAAATCGAAATCCAACCCTTCTTCAAGCTTGATTTCGAATTTTCGATTTTTTTTTTCTTTTTTTTTTTACTATTTGCAGTTTTGGGGGGTTTTTTGATATTTTAAAAAGTTTTGGGGGGTTTTGTTAGAAACCGCGAGTAGCAATTTTGTGACCGCAAATAGCATTTCCGTAAAAAAAATATTTTTAATTAATATTATTGTATTCGTTTGCTAAATTACTGTCTCCAGCAGTTATTTAACTGTCGGAGACAGTAATTTAACTGTTAATTGGCGTTTTTTCATTTTTTTTCTTAAAAAAAAATATTTTAATTAATAGTACTGCCTTAGATGCTAAATTACTGTCTTCAACAGTAATTTAACTGTCTTAGACAATAATATTTAATTATATTACTGTTCGGAAAAATAATATTCATAATATTACTGTTCGGAAAAAATAATATTCATAATAATACTGTCCCAAACAGTAATATTACTGTATGAGATAGTAATTTAGTAGCTAAAACAGTAATATTAATTAAAATATTTTTTTCTTCTAAGAAAAAAAATTCAAAAAAAAAAGTCAACGCCGGAGACCAGCGGTCAACGGTGGTTGACCGACCGGAAAAAATTTCAGGAAAAAAAAAAGTTTTCAAAAAAAAAAAAAAACAAAGTGAAAGCCGGAGACCGGCGGTCAACGCCGGAATCTGGACATTTCAGAAAAAAAATTTATTTTCTGAAAAAAAAAAGTTTTGGGGGTTAATGTGATATATTTGTTTAAATCTGGGGTCAATGTGTAATATTAAGGAAGTTAGATCATAATGGGTGGAATTGATAAGATTTATATTATTGAGGGTATTTTAGATTAAAGACATGGGGATGGGCTTAATTGAGAGACTGTTTTTTTTGTGGACCAAAATGCATTTAAGTCCATGTGATGGGCCTTTTTGCCATTTGCCCTTCGAATTATTATTGTTAGGGTATATTACAATCACCCCTGAGGTATGATTAAATTACGAAAACCCCCCTCCTGTTTGGGTAATTACAACCAACCCTCAACTATAAATCTTCTTACACGTCCACCCTTACAGATTCGAATTTAGTGGAATCTTCGATTTTATATAGGATATTATCACTTTGATACCCATTTTATCTCATTCAATCAAGTCAGGTTCGGAGACGTCTTCCGGAAGGTCGATATCGAAAGACTTAATACCCAATTCAGCACAGGCTTTCCTTTTCATAATGCTTCAATTGGTGGATTCACAAATAATAAATGAAACATGGTAAGAAGCTTCGTAAAATTAAGAATTTTAAGCTGCAGGCGGTCGGATGTGAAGATAGATAAAGATTGTGGGTGTTGCTGCAATTTACGAAAGTTCTAACAGCAGGGAAGAGTTTTTTAAATAATTACAGTTTGACCCCCGTTGTGGCTATAATGCAATTTCCGGAAGTTTCTCAGTCAGGTAGGATTTTTTTTTCAATAATTACAGATTGACCCCCATTGTGTCTATGATGCAATTTCCGGAAGTTTCTCAGTCGGGTAGGAGTTTTTTCAATAATTAGAGATTGACCCCGTTTAGAGGGTTTTTCTGCAAAGTGAGAGAAAGATGGGGATTGAAACCCATAGACTATTTAGATATTTTCAAATTAGAATTTTAGCAGGGAGGAGTTTTTTCAATAATTACGGTTTGACCCCCGTTGTGGCTATGATGCAATTTCCGGAAGTTTCGTAAACTAGCAGGAGTTTCTTCAATAATTAATATAAAAAACATATGAATAATGTATTGCTTTCTAATTACACTGGCAAATAGGAAATCAGTTGTTGACGACCCTATCATGGAAATCCACTGCTATTATCAAGCAAGGTATGATAGTTTTTAACTTTATTGTTGTTAATCTTCAGTTTCCTTGCAATTAGATATAAAACTTGCTATCTTGGCTTTATCTGAGGTGAACATAATGTATGTGCTTTAGTATTTCAAATTATTTGTGCTGTGATATTAATCATAAGTTTGGTAAGAACTATAATGTCTCTTGATTGTGGTTATTAAGTATCTAAGTGTATTACTATGTATATCATATATGCAGTTGTATGAACACTCAATGCAATACATTGTGATGGTAGTCAATTGGTGTAAGGGATGCAATACTGACTTCAAAACTTTTTTGTGTTTCATAATAGTTTCTATCGTTGGACTTGTAATCATGGTAGTTTTGTTCCTGCACGAGCTGACATATTATATTTCGACATACACTGTACATCAGGTTCGTTTTGTTCGTTTACATAGTTTTTCTTTATTCTTACCGTAGCTTGTCACTATGGTTCTTAATATGGGATATAAAAACTTGGCAGATGTTAGTTGATTTAAAACGTGGAGAAAAGCTTCCAATCCATATAAATATTACATTCCCATCTTTGCCTTGTGATGGTTAGTCATTTTAACATCTGTTTTTCATAATCTTCTCATATACCACTCCTTCAGTCAAATCATTGGTTTTATGTGCTTCCGTGAAACTCACATGTGTGGTAAGAGGTGACGGCCAAAATTGTTAATATACTACATTAACTATCATTTAGATACTTGATTAATACAGCCATTCAAATATATCAAATAATTTTTATACAAATATGAATCCCGGATTGTCATATTTCTTTTTCACTTAATAAGAGAAAAGGATAGAATCATGGTAGTTAATCTCGCGATATACCGAGATATATATCGTGATACGGTACGGTTCCAATCAAAACGATACAACTCGGATAATGTATCTGTTGGGTGCTAAATACCAACACGCAAGTGCACGTATCGTAAACAAGTAGTAAAGTGGACTCGTGAGAGTCGGATGTCGATCCCACAGGGAATACTCAAATTATTTAATCCTAAGTACCAAATTTTAACAACTATGATTTTTATCCAGCCAACGCAAGTTGGTCAAATTAATCAATTAAACAATTAAACTAATTAAGAAAGCAATTAAACACGAGAAAATATCAATATAAACGGATCTAGGATTTTATCTTCCCCCTATGCGATAATTCTTCACCCAATTAATCTTCTATCATGCAAGTTACAATTCCCGATTATTAACCCAAGACACGAAATTACTCATAACCAGCTGTCGCGTATATATATCTATCCCTCGTTTTTTTTTTCGAAGAAGAAGAAGAAAGACCATATATAATTTTTCGACCGAATTCCAAGGGATAATTATTAAAAAATCTCCACTTTTCAACCTTCTACATATTGGCTAAAAGAAAGAACACCTTTTCCCCGAGGCTCAAATCAAGGTTCTAAGGATAAATTCGACAAAAAGGGTAGGCTTGAAAGGCTCAAACGGTTCAAAGAAGGCCCAAATCATATCCCAAATCACTTACTACCCAACACTTCGTATCATAAATGTCCTAAGGTGAGATTTAAAACCGAACAAAGCATGATTTAGCACAAATAAATTCCAAATTTAAAATACAAAACCTTCAACCAAAGCAATGCATAAGGTGTGATTCCTAGCAATAATTTATTTCTACGTTCCGTTGAATCGAAAGCTAAACGAATATCTACTCCTTATCAACATAAAACAAGTAATCTCATCATCAAACATTGACCATCTCCCATCATCATAATTCATCGATGCGTCGATCCAAGCAAAACCAATATTTTTTTTTAGAAAAATAGAATAAAAACAAAAACTAAGAAATTAAAATAACATAAAATAAAATAAGAAAAAACGAAATCTCGGGTTGCCTCCCCAGAAGCGCTAAGTTTACAGTCTTCAGCCAGACTTTGT